CCGGCGGGGGGGGGGGGGGGGGGGGGGGGGGGGGGGGTCGGGCTCTGCTCCCAGGGAACAAGGGACAGGAGGAGAGGGAACGGCCTCCAGCTGTGCCAGGGATGGACAACTCTTTCCATGAAGAGATTTTCCCCAATATCCAACTGAAACCTCCCCTGGCACAGCTGGAGGCCGTTCCCTCTCCTCCTGTCCCTTGTTCCCTGGGAGCAGAGCTCGAACCCCCCCCCCGACTCCCCCCTCCTGTCAGGAGCTGTAGGAAATATTGGTGAGGCCCATCCTGCAGCCAGGCTTGTGTTACTTTAATTTTGGGGAGGTTGGTAGGCCAGGCTGCTGAACACAACCATTGTGTGCTGCAAACAGTGACTCAGAGGTGAGTGAGTGCTCCTGGGTGGCTGCCCTGCCCCAGGGTCTCTCTGAGGTGACTTTTGGGGCAGTTCATGATGTGTGCATGTCATCAGCAAGCCAATAACTGGGCCTTCAGGCCTTGATTTCGAGATGCTGGCTGTGCACAAATCACTGGGTGCTCTGCCCCTGGGTCCTTGCCAGTTTGGATCCTTGTCTCTGCCCTTCCCTGTGCTGGGGTTCCTGAAGCCCCCCTCTGCTCTGGGGACACCACCACTGCAGTTCAGGTGCTCTGATCCTTCCCTGGGGCCCTGGTACTCAGTTTTTTCCGTGCTGAACTCAGGGCTGGAGTTGCACTCTGTGAGGATCAACAGTGACAGCATCTGTGTGTCTGACTGTGGTTCAGACCCCGCAGGACGTTTTTGGGAAGCCTGTGGTCACAGCTGATGGAAACAGCTCTGAAAACAGGCTTGCACAAGCTGTGTGAGCTGCTGTGGTTTAGGGGTGGCAGAGGAATAAGGTTCCATAGGGAGAGGTAAAATCAGTTCATGTTTTGCTCAGCTGTTTCTCCAAGAAAACCAAGAAGAAAGGCTTGAGTTTTGCTGCAGTTGGAGCTGATGATTTATTCACATTATCTGAGTGTACCCAGTGCAGTCAGAGCTGCTGCCTCATCCTGCCCTCCCATTCCACCTGGGCTGTTCATGCCTCTCTGAAAACTCTTTAAACCATATTTTAATGCTGTTTTCTACAGTCCCCAAACAGGATGGCAGCCCAGGAGCTCCTCTTCACTGACACTCATTTGGCCTTTCCTGAAAAGCTGAAGGGTTTTTTGGCTGTACCAACAGTATCTTTAAACTTTTGGGGGAATAGTCTCCAAAAGTGCTAACTTGGTGGGCAGGAGTAACAATAATCATAGAACCATAGAATTGTTTAGGTTGGAAAAGACCTTTAAGATCATCAAGTTCAAACTCAGCACTGCCAGAATATCAGAATCTCAAAGTGTGGGACCACAGTGCACAGTACCTGCAGCACTAGTTGTTATTTAACTTCTCTGGTACTTAAAATAACAACCTTTAAAATTCTGTTCAGTTGCTACTCTGGATTAAATCTGGAATTTGGTGATGACACAGAGTTCTGTGAGGGGAAGGGGCAGGTGTTGTGGTTGTTGGGGTGTCAGATGCTTCCACTGGGGTCAGGAGCAGGGCAGTGCTGTGAAGAGTGTTCTCAAAAGTGGCTTTGATTTCAGTGGGCGCAAATACGTGTTTGTAGATGTCTGGAAACCCAGGAAATGTGGCTGGAAAGGCCAGACCACCCCTCAAACCCTGGGCTCAGTTTTGGGGCTCTCCAGACGTTGAGGGGCTGGAGCGTGTCCAGGGAAGGGAACGGAGCTGGGGAAGGGGCTGGAACAGCTGAGGGAGCTGGGGGGGCTCAGTCTGGAGAAAAGGAGGCTCAGGGGGGACCTTCTGGCTCTGTAACTCCCTGACAGGAGGGGGGAGCTGGGGGGGGGTCGGGCTCTGCTCCCAGGGAACAAGGGACAGGAGGAGAGGGAACGGCCTCCAGCTGTGCCAGGGGAGGTTTAGATTGGATATTGGGAAAATTTCTTCATGGAAAAGGTGGTCAGGCACTGGCACAGCTGCCCAGGGCAGGGGTGGAGTCCCCATCCCTGGAGGGATTTAAAAGCCCTGTGGATGTGGCACTTGGGGACAGGGTCAGTGATGGCCTTGGCAGTGCTGGGGAACAGTTGGATTTGATGCTCTCAGAGGACTTTTCCAGCCTGACGCTTCTGTGGTTCCATGGAAAATGTCTTTGGAAGGTGCTGGGTTCTCAGTGTCTCAGTACTGCTGTAATCCTCCAGGTTACACCAGGAGCCTTTTGGGCACAAACCTCTGACAGACAGAAGAAAACACCCTTCTTTTGGTTGGGTTTTGGATGGAAAGCCCAACTGGCTCCAGGAGTGGCCACGTTCCCTTTCTCAAGCACGTGTTTGACTGCCTGTGCTGTTCTCTGGAGGGTTTGCTCTCCCTGAGATGGATTATTTTTGGTGGCTTTTTTGTAAATCCTGACACAGGAGGTGCTGTGGCTGCCCTGACTGGGAATGAGGAGCTTCTCTGGGAGCTCTCTGGACATGCAGCTCTCCCTTTGTTCTTTTCTTTTTTCCCCCTTCCTCTGTAACTCCTTTTGTTTGACTCTCCCTTCCATCCCTCCCCTCTCCTATCCAGGCTGACAGGCTTCATCTCTAGTAAGTTATAATGTCACCAGCTGT